CACACGAAATCCAAGAGCTTGGTAATATAAGCAGATCGTTTCGATATGTAGGTAAGTCCGCGGTCGATACATCAGCTGGACTTCTACGAGGTAGGCCTTATGGTGGTGTGGCTCTTTTATGGAACAGTTACAGTTTCGAGAGTGTGTCAGTTATCTCCTGTGTGAGTGATCGCCTCGTCGCTATTAAGGTGAATGTTACGGGACGTTCTTTCTTGGTATTTTCAGTCTACATGCCAACTGACTCGTCGGATAATTTTCTAGAGTATGTTGAATGTTTAAGTGAGATAGTTTCACTAGTGGAAAATAATAATATTGAATCTGTTTTTGTATTAGGAGATTTTAATGCACACCCAGGTGAGTCTTTTTGTAATGAACTGATAAACTTTTGTAATGACCAAAAATGGGAGTGCATTGATTTCAAATTACTAGGTTTAAGTTCCAACACATACACCTTTGTAAGTGACATAAATGGTAGTCAGCGTTGGCTTGACCACTGTTTAGTCACCGAGGCCGCGAGTGGCTCTGTTACTCAAGTACGTGTCCTATACGACGTCTATTGGTCGGATCACTATCCACTATAAATCCAGTGTAATATAGAAACTCTGTAAAAGACAACGGAGCCACCGCACACCCCCACTAACAGAGTCTTATGGGGAGTGCGAGATAAGGGTCAAATTGATATGTACACCAAAATCTGTAATGATAAATTAAAAACAATTGATTTTCCTATTGAGCTTCATCAATGCTGTGACACATTTTGTTCAAACAAAGATTCGGACCATACTAAGATTATTAATGACTTGTATTTGAAAATCATATCTTCTTTACAAGAGGCGGCTGTGATTAGCTCACAGCTCAGTACGCAACGTAGGGTTCGGCCCATCGCTGGGTGGAACCAGTATGTTCGCGATGCTCATCGGAACGCCAGGCAGAAGTTTTTAAATTGGGTAGCTCACGGGCGACCCAAACAGGGTCTTTTATATGATGAAATGTGTGCCTCGAGAAAACTTTTCAAACAGAAAATTAAGTTTTGCCATAAAAATCAGGAAGTAATTAAAATTAATAACTTAGTAACTTGCCATAAAAATAAAGACTTTCGAGGATTTTGGAATCGGACAAAAAAGATGAGCCCTAAGCCGTGCGTCCCGGCAAGCATCGAGGGCACACAGGATCCCAAGGCGATAGCGGAACTGTTCAGTTCGCATTTTCAGGTGCGATCGCCTTTGAAAAATCGGTGTCGAGCTGTTGAGGTCGTCGTGTCCGGTGTACCCAAACGTATCACCGCTAAAAATGTCGAGCTAACAATTAAAGGAATGACGCGAGGAAAGTCACCCGGACATGACGGCCTCAGCATCGAGCATTTCTCTTATGCTGGCCCGCATCTCCCGAGGCTGCTGGGTTTGTTATTTACACTCTGTATCAGGCATTCCTACTTGCCACCGGATCTAATGAGGTCTCTTGTGATTCCCATTGTTAAAAACAAGACTGGTGACCTAGGGGTTAAAAATAACTATCGGCCTATCACGTTAGCTACAACTGCAGCAAAAATACTTGACGGTCTGATTGAGGTACAACTCAACCGTCACTTGTCACTGCATGACGCACAGTTCGGCTTTAGGCCGCGTTTATCAACAGAGTGTGCAATTTTGTCCCTCAAACATACTGTCAAGTATTACACGGATAGGAGGACTGCTGTCTATGCGGCTTTCCTGGATCTTACCAAAGCGTTTGACTTGGTTAAGTACGAGGTTTTATGGTC